TAGATAGATCCGATAGATAGATAGATAATAGATAGATAGATAGATAATAGATAGATAGATAATAGATAGATAGATAGATAGATAGATAGATAGATAGATAATAGATAGATAGATAGATAGATAATAGATAGATAGATAGATAGATAATAGATAGATAGATAATAGATAGATAGATAGGATAGATAGATAGATAGATAGATAGATAATAGATAGATAGATAGATAGATAGATAGATAATAGATAGATAGATATAGATAGATAATAGATAGATAGATAGATAGATAATAGATAGATAGATAATAGATAGATAGATAGATTGATAGATAGATAGATTGATAGATAGATAGATAGAATAGATTTTTTGTTTCCTTCTCTGTTTTCTACATGTGTATGTGACCAGTGACTGAGGAAGGACACAAAAGTAGAACTCAGGAGATGGTCAGTCCAGTGGGTTCCAGTGCCTGGGGCGCTCTCCCGGGTAGGGAGGAGCTCGGATGTGTTTGCCCCATTCGCACATGAGTCTAGGCACCAAGGCATCCCACAGCCACACGTATGGAAGGGGCATTCTGCAGGCCATGAAGATTGCCACCACTGCCTAGGATTGGCTGTCAGTTTTGACAACTTAGCACCCATAATGGCATAGCGTGGGTTGGCAGCGCCCTTGGGTTAAGGCAAAGACCAGTATTGCTAAGCCCCCTAACTCAAGGCGCAATATTTTTCCTGTGATTGGCCCTGCCCATGCTACACCACTGAGTCCAACAGAAGGAGCCACAGTCATTACTAAATACCATGAAAAGATAATAGTAAACTGTGAAAAAAAACCCTCAGATCTTGTCATTTAGGTGATTGGCCATCCAGCTATTCTCTGGTTTTTCCAGCCATGTAATGCCCCATATCTGATATAAAATGTTATTTACCGTGTTTAGAATTGCGTTGAATCTTCACGGTGTTCCCTCCGGGATCTTTTGCACTTTTCAGTTCTACAATCACTGTGTATTTCACCCCGTTAATATCGATACGTATACTTTGTCTGTCCTCGGTCTTGGCCTTCTCCAGCTCCATGTTTGTCATTTTGTCGAATGGAACAAAGTTGGTTCCATTGAGGTATCCCCATTCCACCAGATTACTGCACAGCTCCGCCTCCCGCTCTCTCGTCTTCTTATCTCGCACACTCTTTACCATGTCTTGGATTTTATTGCTGACCTCCAGGACATCCCTGGACAGGCCCAGCACTTTGACCGTGTAATTGGGGACATCAATAATCAGACTAACTTTGGTAGGTCTTCTGAAGCTGGAATAAGGCCTCCTGATCCTTGTCATTGAACTCCTGGATCCAGTCATCTGTGATGATGTTCTCGTGCTGCTCCTTCATTATCAGATCATGGAGCCAGTCTTTTGTCTGCTTCACGGCACCCCGACTTTCCGCGCACAGCTGGAAAATAGCCGGCTCAATGTTTTCTCTTAATTCAAAAAACCTTGGATCCTGCGAGTCTCCGGTGTTCCACCCCATGAAGTTCAATACAGCTGTGTAGGAGAAAAGAGGATAAACAGTCTGTGCAGTCTGGATGAGAGCCCCCCTAACTGCTTCCCCCTCATACGTCAACCACCTTTGCTATACACGTCTTCCATTCTGCCGAGGTCCAAGCCACTGTGCACCGGCAACTTCCCCCAAACCCAGGGATAAAATACCAACACTGAGCCAGTGGAAATATCTCCCTATGTCTTCCCGACCTATGACAACACAGATCCCATGGCTAAGCACAGGGGCCACATGGGAATCATATCTGATATTTGTCATTTTGAATCTTTCTGCTGGTGCTACGAATGTATACATAGCCATTATCTTGCTAATTTCTGCCCCAACATCCAGTGTTATATAAAACCAACGGCCATGACTCCATACTCATACTTTGACCTTTCTGCTGCCTTTGACACAGTCGACCACCCGCTCCTCCTCAGTAAACTCCACTCCATCGTCCTCCGTGACTCTGCTCTCTCCTGGTTCTCCTCTTACCTTTCTCAGCGCACTTTCAGTGTCACATACAACTCCTCCTCCTCCGCTTCCTCTTTCTGTTGGGGTCCCCCCAGGTTCTGTTCTTGAGCCCCTCCTTTTCTCTCTCTACACCTCCTCCCTGGGTCAACTGATCACCTCCCATGGCTTCCAATACCACCTCTATGCTGATGACACCCAGATCTATGTCTCCACTCCCCAGCTCACCCCCTCCATCTCCTCACGTATCACAAATCTACTAAACAACATATCAGCATGGATGTCACATCACTACCGCAAACTCAATCTTTCAAAAACTGAGCTTGTAATATTACCTCCCCCCCCCGATCCCCCACTCATGACTTTACATTAAGATCACCAGCACAACCATTGGTCCTTCCCCTCATGCCAGGGTGCAAGGCGTAATCCTAGACTCTGACCTCTCCTTTGGGCCCCACATCCAATCACTGGCTAAATCCTGCTGCCTCAACCCTCGTAACATTTCCAAAATCCGCCCCTTCCTGACCAATGACACCACAAAACAACTTATCCATGCCTTGTTATATCCCGCCTCCATCTCTGCAACTCCCTCCTCACTGGTCTATCGTTACACACAGGCCACGCCCCCTTCAGTCTATTATGAATGCTGCTGCTAGACTCATACACCTTACCAACCAATCAGTGACTGCTGCCCCTCTCTGCCAATCCCTCCACTGACCTCCATTCAGTGTCCTCCACCCCTCTCTGCCAATCCCTCCACTGGCCTCCATTCAGTGTCCTCCTACCCTCTCTGCCAATCCAATCCACTGACCTCCACTGACCTCCATCCCTCTCTGCCAATCCCTCCACTGGCCTCCACTCAGTGTCCTCCACCCCCCTCTCTGCCAATCCCTCCACTGGCCTCCATTCAGTGTCCTCCACCCCTCTCTGCCAATCCTTCCACCTGGCCTCCAGTGTCATTGTCCTACACCCCTCTCTGCCACTCCCTCCACTGGCCTCACTCAGTGTCCTCCACCCCACTCTGCCAATCCCTCCACTGACCTCTGCCAAATCCCTCCACTGGCCTCACTCAGTGTCCTCCACCCCTCTCCGCCAATCCCTCCACTGGCCTCCACTCAGTGTCCTCCACTCCTCTCTGCCAATCCCTCCACTGGCCTCCACTAACCCAACGTATAAAATTCAAAATACTAACCACAGCTTACAAAGCCATCCACAACACTGCCCCCAGCTACATCACCAACCTCATCCACAGATACTGCCCAAATCACCCGCTCCGCTCCTCCCATGATATCCTCCTCTCTAGCTCCCTCATCACCTCCTCCCACACTCGCCTCCAGGACTTCTCCAGAGCCTATCCCATCCTCTGGAACTTCCTACCACAGCATGTCAGGTCACCCCCCACCCTGTCTGCCTTTAGGCGATCTTTGAGAACGCAATTCTTCAGGAAAGCCTATCCCACCCCCACCTAAGAACTGTACTTGAATCACCTCCGCCAAGATCATCCTGCGCAGCTATCACCTTTTGTATCACCTCCCCCTTCCTTTAGATTGTAAGCTCCACGAGCCGGGCCCTCCTATTCCTTCTGTACTGAAATGTATTGTAATTGTACCGCCCCCCTTATATTGTAAAGTGCTGCGCAAACTGTTGGTGCCATAAATCCTGTATAATAATAATAATAATAACTTTTCTCTAGGAACTGACTCACAACCTGTTCAATGAGACCTATGGATGAATGACCGTGGGATTACTGTGCTTGATTGACCAGCAAACTCGCCTGACCTGAACCCCATAGAGAATCTATGGGGCATTGCCAAGAGAAAGATGAGAGACAGGAGACTGAACAATGCAGAAGAGCTGAAGGCCGCTATTGAAGCATCCTGGTCTTCCATAACACCTCAGCAGTGCCACAGGCTGATAGCTTCCATGCCACGCCGCATTGAGGCAGTAATTGCTGCAAAAGGGGCCCAAACCAAGTACTGAGTACATATGCAGCTTCTACTTTTCAGAGGTGCGATATTGTTCTATGTACAATCCGTGTTTTATTGATTGCATGGAATATTCTCATTTTCTGAGATTGTGGATTTGGGGTTTTCATGAGCTGTAAGCCATAATCCTCACAATGACGACAAATCACGGCTGGAACTATCTTGCTTTGCATGGAATGAGTCTCATATATTAGTTTCACCTTTTAAGTTGCTGCACTGAAATCAATCAACTTTTGCACCGTATTCTAATTGTTTGAGTTTCACCTGTATATGTTTCTCTCTTTTATGTCCTCAGAGAGATCACTTTCGGAGGTAGCAGAGGTTGATGGGCATGCGATCTGCAGGTTCCATCCTCCACTGGAAGTCCATAGGCATGCAGGCAGACCTATAGCATGAAAGACCCAGCCACTGCGGTGAGCACTACTGTAATTGCTACGGCACTTCACCTGGGGTGGTCCTGCATCTCCAGCCATTTGCCTGTGTTAGCAGCCCTACGGCTCCTACAGCCACTTGGTTGTGCTACCAGCCCTGAGATCCCTCCAGCTGTTCCCCCATGTTATCACACCTAGCCTGGACTTGACTGTGAGAGGAGCAGCGCAAGTAGCTGTTTATGTACTGTACGGTCTACTGCCATTCTCATCCTGTCTGCGTTGATAACACTGTTCAACAAATTTTTATTTTTTGCCAGTTTTGGAAACAAAAGGATCCATTTCTTAATGAATTTCACATTCTGAGTTCAAATATAACAATGAAATTTGTCAATTGGCTCTAGTTTTTCTGTAAACGGAAAGTTTTCTACTATAGGCGTAATGACTACATAATGCACAATAATTATATAGATAGATGTCTTTCCACAAATATAAAGCAAGTGATATGACTACATAACAAAGCCTAAATGGCATAATATATTGCATAGGATTACCAAGAACAATGATAGCCATAAGCCAAGTTGAATCATTTTAATCCTTAGGATTCTCACTAGTTTTGTCTTCAGTTTGTGTCGGTTTTGCTTCTCTTGGCTTTTCTCTTGTATTCGAGGAAAGGGCTATCTCTTACAACTGCACGTGACTACACGCTTCAGGTTCTTCCTCACTTGACTCAACCACGAAGGATTCTGGGGCTTTAGGAATTGGTAGCCCCTCTCCATGAGGAACTGGACGTATTGCCGATGGAATATTTGGATAGTGCACAGATAACTTTTTCTTCTTATTTAGCCCTTTTACAATTGGAGGCACCATACAAAAGTAACAATTACTAACATGATCTGTTGGCTCTCTCCAAATCATTGGCACAGCGAAAGGCATAGATGCCTTTTTTCCATTCAACCATTGCTCCAGTGCCGTCCCACAAGAATTGCAGCATATATGTGGTGCCCAGCTCTTGTCCTGGTCTCCTATCTTGCAGCCAAAATACAAGTTGTAAGCTTTCTTAATCATTCCTGTTATCCTCCTTTTTTGTGAGATAAAAGTTATTTCACCGCAGATATAGCAGAAATTATCTGCTTTATTCACACAAGTTGGAGGCATTACTGAGTAGCCTATATAAGCACAAAACGAAATGTAAAGACGAACTCCAATCAGCTACAGATACTGCAGCTTTTATGCAGTGAAGTGATGCAATTAAAGGCTAATATTGCATCATCTCAGTATACATGACATTTTCTATTGGTCACCAGTATCAATTGCGCAATATGCAGCTGAAGTTGCATCATAATTTTGAATGGCTTACGTCATTAGATGGGGGAATATATCATGGAAACTAGAGCCAATCAACATTTTTTAGGGTCATTTTCGTTTTCAGCACCCCAAAATTATGTAAGATTAGCTAATTTTATGCCCAAAACTTTTTACCTGTTGAACAGTGTAATCCGACTCTGAACCTATCTAGAAAACTTCAAGTTGCAGTCACCCTCTTTCTGATCAGTTGACTCTTCTCCCCCCCCCAGTTCAGTTTTATTGTTTGCTTCTGCCTGCTGTTAGGAAGGGTCCCTGGCAAAGGTGTTTGAAGATAGGACAATTCAGAAAATATACGTCTCCCTGGAAGACTGCTAGGTAGTTTATAGCCAGTGGTGCATGCTGGGAAAGCATATAAATATTCGGGCCGACTTTGTACAAACATTCTTACCACATGGGCAAGAGCCATGAGAGGAAACTGTGTGTTGAAGGCTTGCCTTCTGCCTGGGGGGGCCTACTGCTAGGAGAGTAGCCTGAGTCTGGGGCAGGATTGATGCTTGGATAGCTACTGAAGAGTGTTGGGGAACTGGGTGGAAGCTACTGCCAGTGGACATTGTAGGAAGTTCTGGTGGCTTATAATCCAGGGGGTACGTGGGCTACACCAAAGCTGCTATACAGTGTGAAGAGAACAGAGTGCTCATTCCAGCTTAAAGATTTGTTTTCCTTACTGACTATAAGTAGAGTTTTGCATTTTTGGGTTTCCGTAGCACTAACCCCTCTGTCCCTGAGTTTAGGGTCCTAGAATAAACTCTGGTAAACCACCCTAAAGTGATTTCTTTTGCTCCACAAAGAGTCAAGGATTCTGCCCCATGGTGAAATACTGGCCCACTGAGCCATCTTGGGGCCCTTCACCATTGCCTAGGGGTAAGGGGGTGCTGCAGTTGGATCCGGCAACACTTCCCCCCCATTCTGGGCCTTTCCAACTCTGCGTTCAGTGATCCTCAGACAGATCCTCTCTCACTGGGAGTTCTTTGCCTGGACAGGAATGTGTTGTAGCCACTGTAACCCCGTTCCTATGGGCGGACTGACCATTTGGAAAACTCGGGCACCGCCCGAGGGCCCAGGGTCAGTAGGGGGCCACATGAGATGCCCCTGGTACCTTTTTCATAGGCTTTTTTGAGTTTGGGCAAGGACACAGGGGCCCCATGATCCCCTATTGCTTGGGGGCCCCATGAGTTGTCAGTGCGCCCCTGTTCCTGACCATTCTGATGTCTTCACCCCCTTGATCTGCTATGTATTCATTTATTTCAGGTACTTGTATAGTGCCATCAATTTACGCCGTGCTTTACGTATATATTGTACATTCACATCAGTCCCCGCCCCTGAGGAGTGTACAATTTAAGGTCCATAACTCACAATCATCTACTGGGGCCAATTTAGACAGGAGCCAAATAACCTACCAGCATGTCTTTGGAGTGTAGGAGGAAACCCACTCAGGCACAGGAGAACATGCAAACTCCAAGCAGGTGGTGCAATGGTTGGGATTTGAACCAACGACCCCCAGTACTGCCAGGCAAAAGTGCTAACCATTTAGCCACTGTGCTGCCCTGGCTCTAGCTCCTGACCACTCTATCATCCACGTATGACTTTGGCTTGGCTCCTGACCTCAACAGAGTCATTCCAGTTGGTCTCATCCTGCACCACCTTTACCTACTGCGGCAGTAGGCATCTTCCCAACTGCTGGGCCTGACCTGTTCTTCCACACTGATCCCTCGTGTCACTGCTGAGGTCCTAATCTTCCTGCCAAGAACTACCCAGATGACCCCCTCTTGGAGCAACCACCATTGCCACCACCACCACCACCATGTCATCACCTCTGGGGGGGGTTGGACCAGAGTCACAATGGAAGCCCTCTTCCACCTCCAACCCATGACTGATATGTTCAAAGGCTTTACAAATGTTTTCTCCTTGGACTTTGTGTGATGCCTACCCCACCATATACCAAACCTGTAAATCGATTTGGAGGAGGGAAGGAAGCTGCTCATTGGCCGAGTCTGAAAGGAAGATGTCATACTTTGGGCACCTCATATCTCGTACTGATTCATTTCCTGAAGAGAAGATCTTTCTATGACATTTTCTTTTTCTATGCTAAGATAACATTTTAGGCAAGAACATAAATCCATGCCAGACATGAATGGTGTGCCATTGAATGGTGTCAGTGGGAGGAATGAGGCTATAATAATGGTGTCAGTGGGAGGTAATGGTGCCCAACCCAATAATGGTGTCAGTAGGATTAAACTATGCCCCAATAATGGTGTCAGTGGAAGGAATAGTGCCCCAATAATGGTGTCAGTGGGAGGAATAGTGTGCCCCATTGTTGGTGTCAGTAGGGGAGGGAAATAGTGCCCAATTTTTTTTTTTTTTTTTTTTTTACTAGGGTGTAGTGGGAGGAATATCCCCATTGTATTTGGTGTCAGTGGGAGGAATTAGGTGTCCCCATCATTAAG